GGTCCCCTCACTATTCTTCAGCTACAGCGACCAGCGCACTGCTGTCTGGAATCATACGTGCGGGTACTGCGCAAAGGTCCTCTAGTGGAGTTGCCTCCAGTAGTTCCCCTTCATCATGCAGTTCCGTGTACCACATATCCAAAATATGTGACTCAAGATCCGCCTCAGATTCCTCATACATTGTGGAAAGCCGTCCGTCTTCCTGTTTGTTCGGCTTCTGGGGCTTCCCTTGCGGTTCCGTCCTGTGTCGGTATATCCGCCAATTCCTCGAACTCTGTCACATCCGGGTCAAAGCCCGCTTGAGGTTTGGTGGGCTTCAGGCACTGGATGGTTCTTGAGTGTGCTGACCCAGTTATAGCATGAATGTTAAAGGCGATGCCTTCTGCTTCATATTGGGGTTTCCTGGATTCACATCGATGTAATGTGAAACTGTCAGCGTAAACCACAGAAAATAGCTCGCGGCCACTCTCGGCTAACCTAACCGAAACTACATTCTCGATGCTGAAGAAGTTGCTGATAAAGCACTGTAAAGCAAGATGTACCTTAGGAGATAGTCGGCTTGCACTTGTCATATGAGGTGCCCCCATCTTGGTCGGGACATAGCCAAATGTCATATCAGGTCCCCCCGCAGACAAACTGGCCACGAACGTCAACACCGTCCGTAGCGCAGTGTTGTCGGAGCCAATCTCTCTGGCTATCAAAGCTTCAATATAGAGCGCATGTCGTGCATCGCCGCATTTTACCTGAACGTCGCGGCGCCCCACTCAAACGATGACTCGACCCCTGTCGGGATCGTTTCTTACGGCCGGGAATGGGCCATTGCAGACTCCCCAGTCGCCCTTCGCGGTTGCGGGGCGATGTTAATCAACTAAATCTCCTTCGCCGTTGCAGTGCTGACCCGTGATAGTTGTCTCTGCGCGCAAAGCGCGATTGGACTTGGCCACTGCAGTGGCCTGTGTGATTGCTTCAATGCATACCTCGCGCATCATCTGTTCACGAGAATGATCCAACGTTTCCGTCGGCTGTTCGTGATCCAGGTCAGGCAAGTCAGGGAGCATTGCCGGTTGCCGTCAGAAAAGGGCGCTGCATGGAGACACCTCACGATAGGAGGTGAACGCGTTGGCGGCACACAGGGTTTCACGCAGTAGTCGCACGAACAGAAGAGGCATGTCTAGTCTGTTGAGTTCAGTTTCCATGGCATGAAGCAGACGGCGCAGTATGCCATTTCTGGCTTCGATCGTCGCAGCGCGTCGTCCACGCGCACGCACCCTTAGTTCAGCGCCCTTCCGCCCCAAGGACTGCCTGCGCAGTGTCATTGTTGAGGGCGCCCTCTCCATCGGAGTAGGAGTACCTTCGCAGGTCCAAACTGCATCCAGCACTGATGGTACGCATCCAGGATACTGGCCATTGTCTGGTCCAGTATCTTCACTCCAGTAGCATAGCGAATGCAACAATGGATGATATGAGATATATTACGTTCTTGTTCGTAAAACATAAGGTCACATTCAACTTCTTCGTTAAAATTGCCAGGCAGCGCACACAATAGCAAAACCGCATGCCCAGGCTTGTCCCAAGACCTGCACTCCCGACGCGTGTCGCAGACACCTTTGATCAGGTTGGGTCTGACGTCGTCCAGACCTATCTTGTTTTGGATGAGTCTCATCTTAGGCTCTTTCGCATTAAACCAACGCAAACGTAGCTGCCGCAGCTCGCGCGTTACCACGCTTGGATCAAGGCTTCGTAAGTTTTGTAAACTGATTTGCACGTCGAACCTTGACCAGTCCGGAAGTCGTGGGCGCGCAGCAGGGCTACCCACAGGTGGCGGAGGAGCTGGATCTCCTCCTCGTTGTCGGCCACGTCTGACTCTGACCTGTGGCAGTCGGCTGTGGCCATCCGAGCTACCAGCTCCACTCAAGGCAGGTTGCCCTGCAGCAGGTTCAACAGCATGTCTGCCTACTGTAACGTCGTGGCTGCTGGCACCCGCTGTGGGTCCGGCTCTAGAGCCGGGTCTTGGTGCTCTTAGCCGCACAAGTGGTGGCGCGGCTTGTGCCTCGGGTGGTAGTGCTGCTGGTTCGGCAGGGGCCGGCGGTGCCTGTCCGTGATTGTCGGACAGCTTGAGGCGATTGTCCGTGGTTCCGTGAAGGCTTAGCAAACTTGCATTTGCCAAATATCCGCACATGTCCAGGCACGTTCTGGCCATAGTTCTTCTTGCAGCTCGGACATTCCCAACGGTAGTCTTCCTTACCATACCACCTGCAATGCTTGGGGTTTCTGTCATGTGAGGGAGAGCGCATGTTAACATTATTCGCGCACGCAGGACATCCTAGCCCTCCCGAGGGCGGTATCGTGATCGACCCGTCGGGCTGTCGAGGGATAGTTGGATCGTCCACATCATATCCCGTCACGCTGGTGACTAGCACGGTGGAAGAATAAGGGTGACCATGAAAGGGATCACGGCTTACCTGGAACAGATCGTGTGCGATTCGAAATGCGTCGACGAAAAGAAACTGCACCCTTGAAGTAGAATGTGCAGCCATGGACAGTTCTTCGTTACATACCGACGCGTGTTGATGATGACCAGCACATCGTCTTCGTTCAAAAAGTGTAAAAAGAAGGCGGCGGTTGGCCATGATCTCCGTCGGTTTTCGTATCAATACCCCATGGGAATCACGTAAGCCGGTAGTACATTGATCCATATTCACCTTGCAAATGCCCTTGCATTTAGCCGATGTGGTCCATGGTGGTATCTGATCCACCCAAGTACCCACTGCTTGTTCTCGTAAGCAAAACCGTCGAAGGTCGTTCTGACGCATGGCAAACTTTCCACAGAACTTGATATGTGGAAGATCTTTTGTGGTGCTCATTCCGAGCATCATGGTTGACTTGGGAGTGAAAATAGGTTGGTTGTCCAGTCGTTTTGCAGTTGGGTTGTGGGTTGCTGTATGACAACACTGACGAAGCAAACGTCTACGTAGTGCATCACTGTGTCCTGGACATCATTGTTTCCAAGGTCAACATGTGAGCGTTTGTCTAAGTTTCCCTCCGAAGACAGACCTCGGCTCAATGCTAGCTGCGATACACCACCGCTTCCTCCACACAATTCCAAAATGTCAACCTTGTTGTGTCGTCCACAGCATAACGGTGGGATTCTGGAGAATACATATGCGCATGATTCGATGCGACATTAAATCGGATATAAATTTGAGGCGGTGCTCTGGCCGCCTGGCCAGTCTCAGACGCCCAGAAGACCGAAGAATTGAGCATTCCCCAAATAATGCAAAAACAACTAGAAATAATTGAGGGTCTTCTTTGGGTCGTTTTCGGGCGTCTGGTGGGTTTCTGGGGCCTCTGTGGGCTCTCGCGGGGCCGTCCAGCCGCCCTCCTGACCGATGTGGGCCTGCTGCCTAGGCCCAGCAGAGGCTTCAGAACAAGCCCCAGAAAACACAAGGTACCGTTTGCAAGGCCGTCCAGGGTGCCCCCGGGGACAAGGAACCAGAGCGGTCCCGTTTGAGAGAGGGATCGCAGGTTCCAGAATATAAGAATACAGGAAAGGGTGTACATGTATGTATATATACACATAAACAAATACATGCATACATACATACATGAATACATGCATACATGCATGCATACATGCATATATACACATGCATACACATATACACCGATAGATGCATAAACATATGCATATACATATACATACACATACACATGTACATATACATCTATATATATAACATGCATATACACATATAAACATATACATATACATAAACACATACATATACATGTATATATATACACATATACATATACATATGCACATACAGACATGTGAATATACATATACGTATACCTATACCTATACATATGCATATACGTGTACATATACATATACATATACATATACATATACAAATACATATACATATACATATACATATACCTAAACATATACATATCCCTAAACATACACATATGCATATACATATACATATACCTAGACATACACATACACGTACACGTACACATACAGATGTACATATATATCTACATGTACATATACATGTGCATGTACATATGCAAATACATATACATATACATATACGTATGCAAATACATGTACATTGACGTATACATATACCGACACATATACACATACATATACATGTACATATGCATATGCATATGCATACACATATACAGATACTCGTGCATTGACGTATACATAAACGTATACAATGTATGAACATACACACATAAAACACTATACATATACATAGTCATATACATATACGTATACATATACACATAGACATGTACGTATACATGTACATTCATGTAAGCATACAAACAGACATAGAAACAACACATGTGTAATACATATACAAATACATGTACATCTGCATATACATATACAAATACATATACACAGACCGATGTATATATCCAAATACACCTACGCATACACATGGCAATACACCTATACATTTGCATATGCATATATATATATATAACCATTGTCAATTACATGTACACCTACACATACATATGTATATATAAGACATAGGCGTGTGCATATATGTATAAGTAAAAGTACACATATATACATACATAGGCATATATAGACATAGACATTGGCATATACATAAAAATGTACATGTACATATGTACATGTTCACATAGCTATACATATACATATGCAAATACATGTACCGAACCATATATATATATCTATATACATGTACATATGCCCACACAACTACACATACAAATACACATACAAATATACATACATACATCCAACAGATGCGTGGGCGTAGCTTCCCTCATCATCATCCTGTTCTCCCTCCCCCTGCATTCCCTCCCTATCCCTTCTTTCGGCCTTTGGCTTTCCTTCGCTTCGCATCCTGCTGATCATTCAAACCAAGACCTCCTCGTAACCGCCGCAAGCCCTGGGCTGCCCACAAGCAAGCATCACCACACATGCTTCAGCATTCCTCGATATTGTCCATGACCTCCGGCGGAAACGAAAAGAAACAAAATGCTGAAGAGGACGGTGGCGAAAACGAAACACCAAAAGCGGATGGATTGGAGGGATGTAAACATCGGACAACAAGGCGAATAACCATATCCAGACCAGCATCGACAATATCCAGGGCGGTCCACTCCAGCACTCCCCTCGCACCACGTGCCCACCATACTTTACTCCGACTGGGTAGTCGAAGCCAATCTGGCGCCAATCTGGCAGGCCCAATCTGGCAAACGGGGGCAATCTGGCGAGGGAGCCCACGCGAATCCAGTCTGGCGAATAACCCAGATCGTCCAGTCTGGCCAGGCCAGATTGGCCCTTGGGGCCCAATCCAGTCTGACAGTCTGGCCTTCGATTACCCAGCTCCTCCTCCTCCTCCTCCTCCTCCTCCTCCTTCTGTTCCTCCTCCTCCTCCTCCTTCTGTTGCTCCTCCTCCTCCTTCTGTTCCTCCTCCTCCTTCTGTTCCTCCTCCTCCTGCTCCTGTTCCTGCTCCTCCTCCTCCTCCTCCTCCTGCTCCCATCGAAATAACATGTTCGGAGGACGGCGCGCCAAGCCTTCCATCCTCCCAGTGGAATACAAACGCCGGCAACAGGACTCACGATGGAGGCCGTCTGACTCCCGCGCACCGATGTGTTGCAAAAAAGGATTGCAAAAAAACCCTGGGTTTGCAAAAAAACCCTGGGTTTTGCAAAAACAAACCCTGGGTTTGCAAAAAAAAAAAAATGTTTTTTGCAATCCTGGGTGTTTTTGCAATCCTTCGTGTATGATCTCCAACGCCAACTGAACACCACGCTGACCTCGATTAGAATTCGGGGCGATACCGTACACTATCTGGTGTTTGTACCACGTGACACAAGTTCTGATTCAAAACGCAATGTTATACGGTGCCTGTGTATTTTGTCGATGGGCGATCCGCAAAGAGCCCTGCCACGATACCGTCAGCGCCGCGAAGTTGACAAGACGCACGACGCACACTCTCGATCGGGGCAAACAACTGCAATTCCACCCCGATCTGAAATCCCACCGTGGCGTATACAATTCCACGCAGAGTGAGCATGACGTTAAAAAGTACGAAGTCACCGAATGTGATGAGGAGAATGATTAGCACCCCGCCTGAGATTCCTTAATATTCAGGCCTGGGGAGCCCAAAAGTGACGACAGTTTCAGGTTTGGGATGACCCGCCTCGGATTACCAACACGAAGTGCGGGACCCATAGGGAAGGTGCTCCCGCCTGAGACTTCCTCACAATTTACTCACAGACGAGGCTCACGCCCGGTACTTCCTCTATATTCAGGCCTGGGGAGCCCAAAAGTGGCGACAGTTACAGGTTTGGGATGACCCGCCTTGGATTACCAACATGAAGTGCGGAACCCATAGGGAGGAGGCTCCCGCCTAAGACTTCCTTGCAATTCACTCACAGACGAGACTCCCGCTTGATACTCAGTCCATGATGGTGAATGTGATGAGTAAGTGAATGCGTGATTGAGTGAGTGGGTGAGTGAGTGAATGATGAGGATGATGAATGAGTAATACAGTGATGATGATGGTGACGATGATGATGATGGCCGATGATCGTGATGATGATGGTGACGTGATGATGATCATCGGATGATGGTGATAATCGATGACCGATGATGGAAATCGCACAGAATTCCTTTCATGTGCTGGTGGTGGTGCTCATGATGATGATGCTGACGATGATGATGACAGATGGAGTGGGACGAAGTGATGAGTGAGGGAGTGATGATGATGATGATGTTGAGTGGGTGAGTGAATGATCGAGCGATGATGATGATCACCAGGATGATTATGATGATGAGGGATGATGAGGGATGATGAGTGATGATGATGGTGGTGGTGGGAGAGAGAGAGAGAGAGAGAGAGAGAGAGCGCGAGAGATGAGGAGACACAGAGAGGGGGTGTGGGAGGACTGCGCGGGGTGTGCAGAGACAACAAGAACCCCACTTTGGATGTGGGGAACAAAACAAACAAAAAAATGTTCGCGCCCCGCGGGGTCTACTCATCAGTCCCGGGTGGATGGCCTCATTTGTTAATCACAAGCTCACATTACAACAAGCGGCGAACCTTCGCAAACCTTTGCGCCACCACCTCCGACGACGGCAATGCTTACTGACAGCCCGAGCACTAGATTCCGCTGAGAGTAGACCAGCGTAGCGAATCGAAGCTATCAACAGCAGCACATTTGTAACGCAGTGCAATACAGTGTTGCGCAATTCGTTGCACTCCAACGCACACGATCGCAAGTGTTTTAACATTGAAACCACTGATGAAGCTTGGTGAGGCGAAAACCCACACCCATGTCAATGAAAACACCGAAAGCATACGCATTGATAACAGCACAATCCTACTGTTATGTAATGCATTGAAGATAGGCATGTTTTCATATAATAAATATAAGCGTGCGTGTCGCTGCAAACCCAGAGTGCAGAAAACGTAGTATGCACAAGAAGTAAATTTCTACGCCAATCTGGGAAAACCGACCCGAATAATAAAATGCAAGGCAATGCACCAGGTTGCAGTGTAAAGGAATGCCAGCCAGAGCAAGACAGTAGCGATAGGAGAATCCGAACATGATAGAATGACTATGTGTCGAAGATGCGCAAGATCGTCACAAATGAAAATATGTTGGTTGCAGATCCCGATATGCCCCTACATCTGAAGGGCATATACTTCCCGAGCCCGAGGCCGAACACCCGAAACTGTTGACTAGTCTGCTTGGCGCATCGTCACCATGTGTAAGCAGCATACCGATCGGTTCACAGCTCATGCCAAATCGGTGGTACATTTACTCATAACTCGTAATAATCACTGTCAACATTAAAATGGGCTATCCTCAATACCAGGGCTCCCGACTGAGACAGCCCTTCCACGTGGGAACCGAAACCTGCATCCCAGCGCGGTGACACCGACACCCCGCCATCCGTCGTTATCCCGTCCCTCATGTTCTCCGCCCCCGTTTCAGCACTTCCGGGGCAACGTGAAAAGAGCGACGATCAGGACGAGCGCGGGAAGGAGCGGCCTCTGCGTCTGAGCAGCGGCGCTGCCAGGCGAGCGATCGCACGGCTCCAGACTGGGAACCCGCGCCCACATCAATCCGCGCGCCCCTGCCACAGGGAGGATTCTACAAAGACCATCATAAGCACGAAGCTCAGGAGAGAGGCGGAAGGGAAGTGCGCGAGGTTAGGAGCAATGCAAAGATCAAAGAAATTGGTGGCGGTGTCACAGCAACACCGAGGTCATCGGCAAGTAATGACAATCCATTCCTCCCCCTCCTCACTCCTCGACCTTACCCTTCCTTGAATTATCATTCCTGCTTCCGTCCTCCCCGTCGCTCCTCCTCAGTCATCCCTCATGCTCCCTCCTTCTACTGCTCCTAAACCTCCTGCTCCTCCTGCTCCTCATCATCATCATCATCCTCGTCCTCCTCCTCCTCTTCTTCCCCCCCTTCCTTTTTCCCTCCCTCCCTCGCTCCTCTCCCAATGATACATCCTATTTCCTCCCTCAACCCTTCCACTCCCTTTCCCCCACATCTACATCGTCATCCCACTCATGGTCTCCTTCGTCCCGACCATCACCGTCACCGACATCACCTCACCCTCGCGTGCACAACCGAACCCGTCACGTTCGGAATGAGCTTCCTGGCAAGAACGCTGGCAGCGCGATTTGAGCCAGGAGCGAACCGGCACGCTCGCAGTGAGAGCACCGACGGCAGCGCCGGCAGCGCGACGAGCGCCGCGGCGAGCAGGCACGCCCGGAGGGTCTTCCCGTCGTCAACGTGGGCAACACAAGGCGCGCCAGACTTCTGACTACCTACCAGACCACCCCAACCCAACCCAAAGACCCGGATTTCGGGTTGGGGGGGTTATGGGTTCCACACGTGTTTTTTCGAAGTTCCCCGACCCCCCCCAACTGGAAATGGAGGGCAAATTGAGGCCTTCGGGTTGGGTTGGGGTGGTTTGGTGGGTGGTGAACTTCAGCTGGAACACTCAGGTGGAGCTTCCTGGCAGAAGTGGTGGCAGCAGCGCTAGCAGCCTGATGCACGCACACCGCGAGCTGTACACGCTCGGAGTGAGCTTCCCGACAAAAACGGTGGCAGCAACGCTGGCAATGAGAACAGCACCAGAAGCGGGACGGCGCACTCGGAGCGAACTCCCTGTCGACAACGCCGGCAACGCGATGTGCTCGAGCAGCGAGCCAGCTCGCTCGGGAGTGAGCTTCCTGGTGGCAGCTCCGGCAGCGCGAATTGCACTGGAAGCGAACTGGCACGCTCGGAGCAAGTCTCCTCCCAGCAGCAGCAGCGGCAGCGCGATGTGCGCTGGCCGCGAGATGGCTCGCCCAGAAGGCAAAAACACGCCGGTGGCAGCGCTGGCAAGCAACGCCAACTGCGCCACGCTGGCAATGCGAGCCAGCGTGGCCGGAACCGGCGCCCTGCCCACACTGCAGGCACCGCGGTATGCGGCGTCCAGGAGCCAGCGCGCTCGGAGCGAGCCCTGCGGTAGCGACGCGGCCAAGGCTGCGGCGAGGGAGCGGGCCGGCGCCCTCCTTCTGCTCGGAAGCGACGCCCGCTGCCGCGGGCGCGCGAGCACGCCCCGGCGGCGAGCTGCGCAGGCGGCCGGGCTCCTCGAGGCACCGGGCGTGCTGGCAAGCGCCCAGGTCAAGTCCCACCGTCTGCCTGCGGCGGTTGCGCGCCAGCCGCAGCAGGCCCCATTACTCGGCGCGGGGAGGGGATGCCCCCGTGGCCGTCGGTGGCGCAGCGCGGACCAGCCTCGATCGACTCAGCAACGGCTCGCCCACGAGGGACTCATGGGTTCAGACACAGCTCGCCGAGAAAACAAGCGGCCTGGCGCTGCGCTCAGCCGCGCGGCACGCGTCCCCTGCCTTCTCAGCTCTGGAAGCACTTCCCCAACGACGACTCGATAGTTGCCAGCGCGCTGGGCTGTGAAGTGCATTCCCACACCAAC